GTGGCAGTGTGCTTGTCTAGCATGAGACAAGTCCTGTGCTCAATCCCCAGTATGGGGGAGGGGCTGGGAGTGACGCCACATGCTTACAATTCCAGCACTGGGGCGGCTTAAGCAGGAGGACTGCTGTAAGTTCTAGGCCATCCTGGGCTACATAGTGAGTTTAAAGCCAGCCTGAACTTCAAAGCAAGACCGTGTCTCAAAACAAAACAAAACAAAACAAAACAAAACAAAACAAAACAAAATGAAGAAGTCTTTACACAGTAATAGAGAATGCATATCCAACATGAAAACCCATAAAGTGAAAGACAGTGTTTACTGTATGCTCCCTTTTTCCAAAAAAGGAAAAATACATATACTTTTTTTTAAAAAAAGCACATAAAATACAACTTAAGAGAAGAAAAGAAAGAACTGAATGGACAAACCAGAAAGCAGAAGAGGAAGGTAATGCAGTGAAAGCAATCTGGTGGCGCTCAGTGTAGTGTCCTCACGGAGAGGTGGCCACGGCGGCCTGCGGCAACACAGAACAGCAATTCCATCCATTTCTGTCCCTTTGTGTGTGCACACAGAGCCACCTGAGATGAGAAACAACTTCTCTGGGTCTCAGTTCTCTCTTTGGTAAAACTTGGACAGTGACAGGATTATAATGAAGATTAAATGAGTTAGTACACACCATAAACATTAGGTGACAGCTATTATTATTGATGTTAGTAAACAACTATCATGGTTACGAACCTGGAAAATATCTGGACATTACATAAATTGCCAGCGATAATGATTAACAATTAGAAGGTGAAAACGACTTTGTAAAAGAAACATTTTGCACACAGTAGCTGTTCCTAGTAAGTGTATGCAGAAGGAATAACTATGTAGCTGCTCCCTGCCTGCTTTCAGGCCGCCTGTCACCTCCACATCTTGCTCAGAGAGGCCTAAGAGGTCTCATAGGACCTGGCTTCTTCTGCTTTGGTCTCTATCTCCCGCTTGGCTCACTCTGCTGCAGCCACTCTGGCCTCCTCGCTGCCCAGTGAACAGGCCTAGCACAGCCCTCCCTCAAAGCCTGTGTCTCTCCGTTCTGCATGGAATCTTCCAACCCCTAGACAGCAGCACCAACCCCTTCGTCCTCATCCCCCTCTAATGTCTGCAGTGAGGCCTTCTGTGACCACCTTATTTCAGCTCCTTCCTCTCTACCTGTGTTGCTTTAGTTTGCTCTGTGTCATCCCCAACACTACATATCCATAAGCTGCATGAGAATGGAGATTTTTTTAGTGTATTTGTTTACTTTCTCTATCTCAGTAACGGGCTGGGGATGTAGCTCAGTGGCACAAGCGCCTGCCTAGCAAGTGCAAGGTCCTGAGTTCAATTCCCAGTACAGAAAAAAAAAATCTATCTCCGCACCTTCTAGGTGCTCAATAACATTGTCAACACTCCCACCAGTGATGCTCCCCAATCACTGGGCTCAGGATCTGCTCTTTGCCTCTGTAATTCGTGGGAAAACAACAGCTAATATTTACTATTCATTTACTATTGTGCCGAGCACAACTCTAATACAACTGTTAGCTCATTAAACTTCATAACACCAGCTCTTCAAGTATTTATCTATGCATGCTGGGGATTGAAAGGTACTGATTTTCATTTTACAGATGAGGAAACTGGAGGCCAGGGAGGTCAGTCAGGGCACACAACTCATAAGAGGTAGGCACAACAGTGTCTGAAAGGAACTTTCTCCAGGCCAGGTTTGTTCCTAAAAATCAAAGGGTAAGCTAGGCATGGTGGTACATGCTTATAATCCCAGCACTCGGGAGGCTGAGGTAGGAGGATTGTTGCGAGTTTGAGGCCAGCCTGGGCTACAAAGTGAGTTCAAGGCCTGAACTGCATAATGAGACCCTGTCTCAAAAGACCAAAAAATAATCAAAGGGTATAGACACCTGCCAAAGCGGGTCAAAACAGTGAACCTTTCTACCTCTTTTCTTGGAGACAGGGTCTTGCTATGTGGTTCAGGCTGGCCTTGAACTCACTATGTAGTTCAGACTGCCCTCAAACTCATGGTGATCCTCCTGCCTCAGCCTCCTGAGTGCTGGGGTTACAGGTGTGTCCCTCCATGCCCAGCCTCCACTCTTTTCATGACAACACATCAAGACCCACTAAATATTTTACTGTTTCCTTTGTCTTTTTGTTGTACCTTTTAGTTGCTTTCTTACTGCTTTGAAACTCATTAAAATCTGTACTCAACTAATTTTGATGGAAAAAGTCTGTCCTGGCACCCAATGCACAATCTATAACCTAATGCAGATTGCCTCATGACTTGCTATACTTTCTAGCCAAAACAATTTTGTTGGTACTCCTCATTTTTGGTACTTATCCTGAGTCCTGGAACCAACCAAAAAGTACTACTTTCTTTTTATTATTTTTGCAGTACTAAGGAATGAATCCAGGATCTCTGCACTGACTTATGTCCCAGCCTCTGTTTATTTTTAATTTGTTAAATTACCTAGGCTTGGGCTAGGGAAATAGCACAGTGACACAGCGCCTGCCTGGCAAGTGCAAAGTCCTGAGTTCGATTCCCAGTACCAAAAAAATAAAAATAAAAATTGCCTAGGCCGGGCTTAAACTTGGGATTTTCTTGCCTCGGCTTCCCACACTGTTAGGATTACAGTAGGCACCACCAAGCACTGCTTTGTTTTTTTTAAAAGCAAATATCCGAAGGAATTGGCTCACAACTTTCCTCAGATACCAAAATCCATGGAGGCTCACATTCCTTATACAAAATGGCAGTTTCCATAAAGCCTAGGCACATTCTCCTGCATACTTTCCATCACCATATTATGTATAATACCTAATGTAATATAAGTGTTATGTACATAAATGTTATACTGTATTGGGTAAGAAATAAGTTTTTAAAAGTCTGTACACGTTCAGTATGACACATTTTTCCTGAATATGCTCAATCCAAGGTTGGTTGAATCCACAGGTGTAGAGCCCAGGATACAAAAGGCTGACTATGTACCATAAAACTATTTATTTATAACTATAGTTATACTATCTACCATATAACTACTGGAAACACTACTTTCCACTTATTTTCACTTAATGTATGTTGGAGCCCATTCTATCAATATGTGGAGATTTTCTTCACTTCTTTTTCTCCTTCATTTTTTTTTTTTCATACTGGGACTCAAACTCAGGACCTCGCGCTTGGCAGGCAGGCTCTGTGCCGCTGAGCATATCCCCAGTCCCTTCATTTCTTTTTACAGTTGCAAAACATTTCATCATGAGGATGTATCAGTTTTTTCAGCCAATCATCCCACTGAGGAACATCTCAGAATGTTAGTAGTCTTTTTTGCTATTATAATGTCATGGTTCCTCTCCCTCTCCGTGGACTCTTCACAGAGTAGATCGCCCCACTCCCACCTGAGAGTAATGACTTTTCTCCTGTGACTCCCAAATAGTGGCTCTAGTAGTAATTTTCATTCATTCAACGACCATTAGGTGGGCATCTCCCGGGTGACGGTCAGCCCTCCGTAGGACCAGCCTCGGCCTCACGGAACCCATGGCCATGGTCATAATCAAACAGCACACACAAGCCTAATCATAAGTTCGACCACACACGACACGAAGGAAAGGAACAGGGACCTATGAGTGCATTTAACAGGCTAACTTCGGGATGGAGGGCGGGAAAGGAGGGCTTCACAGAGGAAGTGACGTCGGCGCGGAGCCCCAAAGAATGAATGAGCTAGCAAGCCAGAGGGGTAAGAGGATGTTGTGGGCAGAGGGGATAGCTGGGCAAAGCGGGAAGGCGCATGGCCGGTCTGAGGAACCGAGGGGCCAGTGTGGCTGGGCTAGGGACAAGCAGAGACACGGAGTGGAAGCCGGCGAGGTCTCCCAGGCGAACGCGCCTGTGGGGGCCACGGGGGAACTTTGCCGCGAGGGCACTGGGGAGCCAACGGAGGGTGCTGAGCAGGGGAAGAAAGCGGGGCCCCGAACACTGCGGTTTTCCTCTCAGGCTGCCGTCCTACCACCCGCACCACTGCTTCTTCAGGGCCCTCGTTCTCTCGTCCCCTAGTCCCGGGGCCCTCACGCCGCCTGCCTCCTACCGCGGCTCCAGCCTCCGTGCCCCTCGCGCCCCCTCAGAAGCGCCTCTTCGTAGACGCCGCCGTCGCCGCCATCTTCCGCCCAACGCCGTGACTCTGCGCACACTCTGCACACACAGAGCCGCTGGGAAATGGAGTCCAGTCCTTGGCCCGCCCCCGCCCCTAACTCTCGCCTCGCGGGCCACCTTCCGCTCCCCGCCTGCCTCCGCCCCAGCGGCCTCCATTTTCCGGCCAAAAAGGCGCTATGCCTTTTGGGAAATGTAGTCTCTGGCGGAAGCGCAGGACGGAAGCTGAAACAGAGCCATCTGGGAAATGTAGTTCACAGAGGTCTGGAGTCCCTGGACGGCCTGCTAGTGTTAGAGTGGAGTCCCGAGGGCGAAGCTCCTGAGTTTGGGAGGTGGTCTGATACCCTTGTGGGGTCTAAGCGGGGGTCCGATTCTTTCCACCTCTGTTCCTGACCCTATACACAGTCTGAAGCATTTGCAGCCGTCGGAAGTTTCAGTCTTTCGGTCTGTCCAATGGAAATGTAATTTTGACCATCCCTGACGGGTCCTTTCATTGGCATATCGGTAACTCTGGAGTCTGTAGCGCTCCTAGTGCCCTCTCCTCCACAGCGGACCAGCTTTTCGCGCTCTGGGATAGACATGATGAAGCCCCCTGGGGTAGAAGGTCCCCCGAGTTGTGCCCTTGAGCTCTTTAGTAGCAGCAGTGTCTCCCACCTGTAGCTTTTCCTGCATCCCTCGCCAGCTCCCGGGTCCTGGGGCTGCGGCTCCCGGCGCCTGAGGTCTGTCTCCTGGCAATCCCGCAGGGGGCGCCCCAGTCCGGGCTCACCGCCCTCGGGGAGGTGGGAGGGGAGCCCGGGGCGGGCGAAGGCGGGGGTGTCCCGGCTATAAAGCGTGGCCGCCTCCCTCGGCGCCCGGGACAGCGGGACCCCGGGCGGTCGGACGGGCGGGCGCCGGTCGCAACTGAGGCGGTGCCCGCCGAGAAATCCGGACCCTCCGTGTTCCCCCGGGGCCGAAGCCGGGGCGGGTGGGGGCTCAGGCCCGGGGGATGCTGGGCTCGGTGAAGATGGAGGCCCATGACCTGGCCGAGTGGAGCTACTACCCGGAGACTGGCGAGGTGTGTCCTCCGGGATGGCGGAGCGGGAAGCGGGGGGCAGGTATCGGGACGTGAGCTTTCATGGGGCCCAGGGACCGCAGTATGCGCTCAGATGGTGACGAGGGCATCTAACTGGGGCACCCAGGAGCCCGGGACACGGAGACCAGGTGTGGGAGTGAGGGACAGGAGACGAGGCTTCGGAGCGCGGTTTGGGCACGCTAGTGGGGGCGATGGCTAAGGAGGGTAGAAAACTTAAGCAAGGGTCAAGTCACACCTTAAACGTGAAAGCTGGCTGCTGGGGCTCGGAAATCCTTGGTATTAAAATGAATAAGCCAAAGGTAGGAATCGGAGAGCTCCAGGAGAGGGAACAGAGCTGGAGGATTTCAGGAAATGGGCTTCAAAAGGATGGAGAAAGCTAGAAACTTAAGAGGTGGAGAAGAAGGAGGAGGAGGTCACCATTATGGGAAGTCTGAGGCGGACGTCAGGGTCAGAATACAGAGTTCATTTAAACACGGGGCTGGGGGGGTGGAAACGAGAATTGGGGTTCAGGAATAAGGATCAGCTGTCGATCTAAGATTGGATCAGAAATAGGGGCTGGTGGAGCTCAGGGGTAAGAGATAGAGGTTCTCAGAGGTGAAGCTTCTTTTGGGAGATCTGAAGTAACAGGTGGCCTAGACAGACAGGCATCCAGATGGCTTCAGCTTTGGAAAAAGTAAGATGTAAGAAACTAAGAGATGTGGCCATCAGCTTTTGCAATAGTCAGTCTTCGTCTCCCCTGACTCCATCCCTACCCATCACTCTCAGCAAAACTCCCCAAGTCAGAGGCTGGAGGATTTCAGACTGGGTACCTCCTCTCTCCCCCGACCCCATCCAGCACCGTCCAGCCATTGCTAAACTCCTCATGCAGTCCTACCTCAGACAAGCCTTCCCAGAGATAGCAGGGGCACATCCTAATGCCCTCGCCCTAGCAGACAGAAAGTCCTTCCCCAAAGCTAACTCCAGTTCCTCTCGGTGCAAGAACTCCTCTTCGCTCATTTGCTCAGGAATCAATGTTGTGAGGGTGGGGAGGTGGACATGGCGGGGTCTGGACTCTTGGATTCCTAACCTGGAAGGAGAACTTGTGCTTGAGGCGGGGGCGCAGGGCTGGCATGGCTGGGCTTTCTGAGGAGTCAAGATCTGGTGGTTGCCTAGGGCTTGAGGCTGTCGGGTGAGACTCCTGGATCTCCAGGCTTTTGGGCTTGGCCAGGTGCCCAGGAGGGGCCAGTCCTGGGTCTGGGGAGGTGTGAGGTGCACGTTGGGCCAGGTAGAGCCAACTGGGGAAGGGATTGGGTTCTTGGAGAGGTGGAGGTGGGGTGGCTGGAGGTTCAGTGGTAGGTTGGGGGGTGGAGGCTCCCAGGTACTGCAGAGATCAGAGTCTGAGCACAGGATTTAAGTGGATCAACTACAACTGCAACTCCGCTTCCAGGGCGCACCTTAGGAAGTAAGCTGAGTGGGTGCAGGCAGAAGTCAGTGTTTGGGGGACAGGCTTCGTGGGTCACAGTTTGTGTAGAAACTGTGGCTGGAGCTGAGAGGCAGCCCTGGGGAGGGGAGATGTTTTGGAAGAGCCAACGTATGGACTGCTGGGTAGGGTTTGGGGGCCACTGGCAGGGTCTCCTGCCTTCCTGTCAGATAGACCCGCCTCTTGCTCTCTGTCAGAACAATGGAGAGAGAAATAGCTGCCCTCAACCAAGACCCAGAACTGACAGAGTCCCTAAACCATTTCACACCTCAGCACCCTCCTGCTGGGGTGATGCTGATACCTTTCTGTTGCAAAGTTATCACCCTGGGGTGTCCCCTCAGGTCCCAGATCCTTACAGGTCACTGGTCCATCTGTTTCCTCGTTTTATTTATTTATTTATTTACTTACTTACTTATTTATTTTTTGTCTTTTTGAGACAGGGTCTCATTATGCAGTTCAGGCTGGCCTGGAGCTCACTTTGTAGCCCAGGCTGGTCTCCCATTTTATTTATTAAAAAAAAAATTATTTTTTTAAATTTTTAGAGACAGTCTCACTATGTAGTTTGGGCTGGGTTTCAATTCATTATGTAGCCCAGGCTGGCCCTGAACTCTTTGTGATCCTCCTGCCTCAGCCTCCTAAGTGCTGGCTCTGCTCCCCCATTTTAAAGTGGGAAATCTGAAGACTCCCAGAGTGTGTGTGTGTCGGGGGGGTCCTAAACTGTGTCTGGGACTGGAAACCAGGCTTCTGGCTTCCCATTGCCTCCCTCTGCTCCCCGACACGCCCTTCTTCCTTCTTTGGAAACAATAAGGAAATGAAAGGGGAGAAAAATCCAACCTCCTGGGTGGGGGTGCAGATCCTCTGAGGGCTTTCCCCCAGTCTCAACCCCGCCCTGTTGGGGGAGATCCGGTTCAGACCCGGACACTAGGGGTTCATCCCAGCCACGGGGCGTGGGAAAGCCTAGGGTGGATTAGAGCAGCTGGAGGGTTTGAGGTCAGACCTCAAAGAGAACTTCCCGGTGGGTGGGGAGCCAGAAAAGGAGGTTCCCTGGGGCCTCAGAGAGCCCTACTGGGTTAGAGAAGTGGGGTAGGGTACTGGGGGATTTAGTACTCTCTGGAAACACCTCAGTCTGTCACCTCCCCTCTCTTTCCTTATTCTGGGGAGGGGCAGCCGCACCCAACTAGGGGTGAGAGCCGGGGGTGCAGGAGTGTGGGGCTTCTGACGAGACGCAGTGCCGAGGAAGGGAGAGAGACAGGCAGAGAGATGTGCTGCTGCTGGACAAAGAGGGCATGGGGTGGGGATGGAGAGCGTGCAAAGGGGACAGGTAGATGGTAGGGTGGCAGGGCTGGGGCCGGTGAGAGGAACAGGGAAGGGGGGAGGAGCAGAGGGTTGGAGAGTGCACTGAGGGAGAGAGAAAGTCGCGGGGTGTGGAAGGGAGACAGAGGCACTGAAGGAGGGGCAGATGCACACAGAGACAGAAATGGCCAACCCAGAGTCCCAGGAGGCCAGACCGCGGGCACTACTGGAGCGAGGGACAGGGCGCCACAGGCTTTCTCGCCTGGCACTCGGACCTGGCCTTGGTTGCCACCTGTCTCTGACTCCCTCAGCGGCCCCCTTGAGTCCCTCTTCTGTCTGGACTTTGGGACCTGCAGATGCTTCCAGTGGCAGGGAACCAGATGGCGTCCACCAGTCCACAGCCAAGGTGGCTCCTGCTGGCGCTCCAGCACCCCGGGGCCAGGAGATTGACCCAGCTGGGGAGGGGGCAGGGCAGATGGGGGCAGATGGAGGGAAGATAGCGGGTGAGCTGCAAATGCTTTTCTGTTTTCCTTGCTTATCTGGTTCGGTGTCTTCCTGGTACACTGTCCCCTCCTGAGGCTTGTTTTGTGGCACCTGGGATTATTAAACCCAGGGCCTTCCCACTGAGCTGCATCCCCAGGCCTTTTTTATGTTTCTGAATTTTGAAATTGGGTCTTGTTAAGTCACTTAATTATCCAGACCGAACTCCAACTGGTGATCCTCCTGCTTCAGCTTTCTAGAGTGCTGGGGTGACTGGCATGTGACACCACACTGGACCCATGAGGACATTTCTATCTGCCTTGGTCACTGCTTTTATAGCATGATCCAGGATACAGGTCTGGATTGAGCCCATGTGGATTCAGAATCCCAGTTTTGGTGCCTTTTCCTTCCTGTGTGACTCCTGACAACTTTGTGGGCCTCAACTCACTCAGCTGTAAAATGGGCATGCTATTAATGCCTCCCCCAGCCTTTACCCACCACCACCACTATGGTTGTAAGGATTAAAGGAAGTTTTTATTTTGAGGGGTACTGGGAATTGAACTCCGGACCTAGCACTTGTCAGGCAGGCACTGCACCTCAGAGCTATGTCCCTGGCACTGGGTTAAAGGAAATTTAATCCACTAATCCTTCTTGGAAACTACTGGGGGCAGTGCCTGGTACAGAGTAGGGAGACCTATACATATGGGTTAAATGGATGAAAGAATATATACAAGGCAAGAACCCTACCACTAAGCCATATCCCCAGCCCTTTGAAAGAATATACAGAGGGTGATTTCGAGAAGGAAAACAATGCCTACCATGTTTTATTGAGGTACAATGCATGCTTTCCCCCATTTGAACATTTCTGAAAATGGAACGTGTTTTACAATCAATGATTTCTGGAGATTTAAACTAAATGGGTGTTTTTTCATTTATATTGCTATTTAAAAGTGTTAGAGCTGGACGTGGAGGTGCATGCCTGTAATCCCAGCACTCGGGAGGCTGAAGCAAGAGGATTGTTACGAGTTTGAGACCAGCCTGGCTACAAAGTGAGCTTGAGGCCAACCTGAACTACATAGCGAGACCCTGTCTCAAAAAGACAGACAAAAAAAAAAAAAAAAAGTGTTATAGCTTATAATGAATCTCAGACTTGATCATATATAAAAATCAGTAAGTGATATATTTTAGGTTGAAATGTGATTTCTAATCATATTTCTTTATTGTTTTTCTAGTTTGCTGCCAAAGTGAGCACTGTTGTTTTTTTGATACAGGGTCTTGATATGTAGCCCAGATTGGATTCAGACTTGAGATCCTTCTGAGTGCCGGGATTGTAGGTATTCACCACCATGTTGGCCAGATAAAAATTTTGACCTATAAAAACAATAATTTAGGGCTGGAGATATAGCTCAGCGGCAGAGTGCCTGCCTGGCAAGCGCAAGGTCGTGAGTTCAATTCCCGGTACCAAAAAACAAAACAAAACAATAATTTTTTGCCAGGCATGCTGGCACACACCTCCACACTCAGGAGGCTGAGGCAGGAAAATTACCATGAGTTCAAGGCCAGCCTGAACCACATAGAGAAACCCTTTCCCTACTCCACTCCCAAAATCTAATAAAGAGTAAAATAAAATTAAACCCATAATTTTTTTTTTTTTTTGTGGTAGTGGGGATCGAACTCACGACCTTGTGCTTGCCAGGCAGGCACTTGTGCCACAGAGCTATATCCCTAGCCCCTAAACCAATAATTTTTAAACGGGGTGCAGTGGCACGTATTTGTAGTCCCATCTATGTGGGTGGTTAAGGCAGGAGAAGCACTTAAATCCTGGAGTTCAAAGATCAACCTGGGCAATGTTTGGAGTCCTCATTTCAAAAAAAAAAAAAAAGAAAAAAACAAAGAACCTATTAGGTTTATAATCTAAAAGAGTGATAAAGAGCTACATTATTAGAGATTATTAGAGATTGGCTAGATTATTAGATATTTATTTTAACTACTTATTAAAATTGAACTGTAGTTTATTAGGAAATCAATTTTGTAGTTGACAGCCAATTTTGATAAATTTCTCAAATTTTTTAAATCAAAAATTGATTTTTCAAATACAAACTGATTTCTCAAGTTTTTCAGTCTCAGGACCCCTTTAACTCTTAAAGATCCCAAATAGTTTCTGCTAATGTGGGTTATATCTACTGGTACATACCATATTCAAAATTGAGCCAGGCATGGTGGCGCATGCCTGTAATCCCAGCACTCAGGAGGCTGAGGCAGGAGGACTGCAAGTTTATACCCAGCCTGGACAACTTAGTGAGTTAGCAAGGCCTTGTCTCAAAGTAAAAGATAAAAAAGGAATGGGGATGTGGATGTTGCTTACTGCAAAGATCCTGGGTTCGATCTGCAGTATTATTTTTAAAGGCTATTATTTATATTATAGATACATGTGCTTTTATTAAAATAATTATGTTTCAGAGTTGGGTAGGGTGTCCCGTGCCTGTAATCCCAGCACTTAGGAGGATGAGGCAGGAGGACTGCCATGAGTTCGAGACCAGCCTGCGCTACATAGTGAGCTCAAGGCCAACCGGGACTACAGAGCGACACCATGTCTCAAACAACAACAAAGATAACTATGCGGGGATATAGTTCAGTGGCACAAGTGCCTGCTTGGCAAGTGCAACATCCTGAGTTCGATTCCTGGTCTGCCGCCCCCGCCAAAAAAAGTTGAATGAGAAGAGAGGTACCATATTTTTGCAAATAAGTTTGTCTCAGTAGAAGACAGCTGGAGTGTCAGTTGCTTCTGCCTTCTCCGTGTCTCAATATCACATGTCCTGAAACCTCTGGAAAACTGCACTGAATGCTCATGAAAAAGGGAGTGAGAAAGGCCAATAATGTCTTTTTTTGTGTGTCTTTTTGAGACAGAGTCTCACTATGCAGTTCAGGCTGGCCTTGAGCTCACTTTGTAGCCCAGGCTGGTCTCGAACTTGCACGATCCTCCTGCCTCAGCCCCCTGAGTGCTGGGATTACAGGTGTGCACCACCAGGCCTGGAGCCAATGATGTCTTGGTGTGATTTGGAAAATCTTTTTGACCTCAGGGACTCCCCAGGGTGTCCTGGACCATATTTTGAGAACCACTTCAAGTGTGACCTCTTGTGTATGGGAGCGTGGTGGTAGGAGGATGGGGATGTACAGAGTGGATATACGAGGAAGAGGAAGAGACTTCAAGAGACAGCTGTCTCCAGAGAGAGGTAATGATAGTAGGGACTTATAGTCTTGCTAAGATAGTAAGTTGCCCAGGCTAGACCTGAACTTGCGATCCTCCCGCCTCTGCCTTCCAGAGTGCTGGGGTTACAGGTGTGCACCACTGTGCCTGACTGGGAGGCAAAACAGACAGGTGCAGAGTCTCACAGAGGGTCCTGTGAGCTCCTCCTGACCAGGGGAATGGGCATGCACTGACCTTTCCCCGTCTTTCTCTCCCTGCAGGTCTACTCTCCCGTGACCCCAGTGCCCACCATGGCGCCTCTCAACTCCTACATGACCCTAAACCCTCTAAGCTCTCCCTACTCCCCTGGGGGGCTCCCAGCCTCCCCGCTGCCCTCAGGACCCCTGGCACCACCCACCCCCTCGGCGCCCCTGGGGCCCCCCTTCCCGGGCCTGGGTGCCAGCAGTGGCGGAGGTAGCAGCTCCGGGTATGGGGGTCCAGGGCCCGGGCTGGTGCACGGGAAGGAGATGCCCAAGGGCTACCGGCGACCTCTGGCCCATGCCAAGCCGCCCTACTCCTACATCTCGCTCATCACCATGGCCATCCAGCAGGCACCTGGCAAGATGCTCACGCTGAGCGAGATCTACCAGTGGATCATGGACCTCTTCCCTTACTACCGGGAGAACCAGCAGCGCTGGCAGAACTCCATCCGCCACTCGCTGTCCTTCAACGACTGCTTTGTCAAGGTGGCGCGCTCCCCGGACAAGCCGGGCAAGGGCTCCTACTGGGCCCTGCACCCCAGCTCCGGGAACATGTTCGAGAATGGCTGCTACCTGCGACGACAGAAGCGCTTCAAGCTGGAGGAGAAGGTGAAGAAAGGGACCAGTGGGACGTCTGCCACCAGGGCCGGTACAGGGTCCGGCGCTTCGACCACCACCGCTGCTGCCGCTGTTACCTCCCCGCCGCAGCCCCCGCCCCCGCCCCCGGAGCCTGAGGCCCAGGGGGGCGGGGAGGACGTGGGGGCTCTGGACTGTGGCTCACCCACTTCCTCCACACCCTACTTCACTGGCCTGGAGCTCCCCGGGGAGCTGAAGCTCGACGCACCCTACAACTTCAACCATCCTTTCTCCATCAACAACCTGATGTCGGAACAGACGCCGGCGCCTCCCAAACTGGACGTGGGGTTTGGGGGCTACGGGGCTGAGAATGGGGAGTCTGGGGTCTACTACCAGGGCCTCTATTCCCGCTCCCTGCTTAACGCCTCCTAGCGGGGCGTGGACCGTGGTGGTGGGTAGCGCTGTGGCTCATACCTCGGGCTATTGGGGCCTGACCCTTCTGGCGCCACTCTGCTTGTCCCATGGGTTAACATCTGGTTTGTGTATTACTTGCTATGATGACCCACGGGTACCGGGACAACCACCACGGACAACGTTGGTGGCCCCGTGGGGTGCCTCCAAGACTGCCACGTTGACTGATGTTATCGGTTGAACCCTTGGGTGCTTCAGTGGCCGCCATCTGGGATGACACCGTGGTTGGCCTTTTGGGTGTGATGATGATACCATTTCAGTGACGTCTGTGACCCACTGGGGGCTGGGATCACTTATGTTTCGGTGGATTTGGCACAGCAGGTACCAAGTTGGCCACTGTCCTGCATGACATCTTTTCTGGCCCACTGGGTGCTCAGAGGGCCACGGTATGGGCCATGGGACATGAGTGCGCCATTGACCATTATGGTACCGTCACGGCCACCATGGCCCCGTGTTGGCCGTTACCACTGTGTCTTTGGCGTGGCCTGGGAGAGGGGTGGAGATGAGAAGATTCCTTCGTTTTCTCGGATGCCCATCCCCCAGCGGTGTCTAAGAGAAACCAGAAAGGCCAGGGTGTGGGGAATTTCTACTGAAGTCAAGTTCTTGCCTGGGAAGTGGGATATTGGCTGTGTTTGACCATTAAAGGCACCGATTCCGCCTCTTACTGAATGTCTCTTTTCCTTGGCGGGCCCTGTGGGGCTTGAACACCTGACTTTCGGTTCCCCTGTCCCCTTTCCTTCCCGCCCCCAAGAACTGGCTGCCACTGGGGGAAGGGCTGGGGTAGGCATCGACCTGACCTTTGGCTCTTTGCTGTCCCTGACCCCAAGGACAGTTTGTTCATAGATAACAGCCCCCGCAGCCTTGGGGCCAGGGCAGCAGGGGGAGGTGGCTCGGCGGTGACCAAGGCCATCCCGCCACCCCCACTTCCCAGACACACGCTTCTAGCTCTGAGACTTTGGGATCCTAGGGGCTGCTCAATGTTTGGTTAGACCAGGAAGGGGAAAAAAGGATAAGTGAGGTGTTAAACTGGAGACGGCATGTGTGTGTCAGGTTTTGTGTGTGTGTTGGGTTTTGTGTGTGTGTGTGTGTGTGCGCGCGTGCTGTGGGTTAGGGACAATCACTGTGCTCGCTGGGGTACCCGTAGTCTACCTAAGGTCCTTTGTGCCCGTACTGGTCAGTTGGGTGGGTTAGTGTGTCTGTCTGGACTCTGGGTGTGGGCCTCCTATGGGCGACTCAGGCTTTGTGCGTGTGTTGTTGTTGTTGTTTTGTGTTTGTGATTCTCTTTGCACACCTGTCCTGTGTCTCACACTGTTACGTGTGGGTCTCTATGTTATGTTGTGTACTGCCTAGCGCTGCCTCAGGAGAGGGCGAGGACCCGTGTTGTCTGTCATTGTGTTCCCTGAAATATCCCCAGGAGTCAGCTTCTCCCCATGGTGCACAGGCACTCCTCTCACTGCAGTGTGTCTGTCGCTATTGGGTCCGTGTGTGAGCTTGTGTGGAGGGTCTGCTGGCCCGGGCACATGTCTGTCACTCTTGTGGCCACAGGAGTGGGGCAGGAGCCGATTCCTTCGGCCGTTGTGGGTCTCCGGGCTGTGGATCCAGGTGTCTGTCCCTCCTGCCTCTTCAGGGTGTGCTGCTCTCAGAAACACACTTGTGCGTGTCACACCTCTCCTTGTAGAGTGGAAATGGAGGCTCAGAATGGGAGGGAACTGGCCAAGGTTACCCAGTAGGGCAGAGAGAGGTAGGCAGGGTTGGCCTGATAGCATCTTTGCATTTGCCATTCGTGGTCCTTGGCTTTTTGGCCACTTGTTCATTCTTCACTCAGCCAATGGCTGAATCACTCAAAACCCAAAGATTGTCTTTTTTTTTTTTTTTTTTTTTTT